AAGTATCATATGATCAGCAAATAATGACAGTTTAACTTTTTCCTTTCCTATCTTTATTTCTTTTATTTCTTTCTCTTTTCTAATTGCTGTGGCTAATGTTTCCAGAACAATATTGAACAGGAGTAGTGATAGTGGGCATCCTTGTCTTGATCCTGATTTTAGTGTGAAATTTTTCAGTTTTTGACCATTTAGTATGATGTTGGCTGTTGGTTTTTCATAGATAGCCTTAATCAACTTGAGATAAAGAACTTCTATTCCAATTTTCTGTAGGGTTTTTATCATGAATGGGTGTTGGATTTTGTCAAATGCCTTTTCTGGATCTATTGAGACGATCATATGGTTTTTTCCTTGACTCTGTTAAGATAGTGTATTACATTTATTGATTTATGAATATTGAACCATCCTTGCACCCCTGGGATAAATCCAACTTGGTCAGGGTGTATGATCTTCTTGATGACCTTCTGTATTCTGTTTGCCAGTATCTGAGCTAAGCTGTATTCATCATATTTATATTGTTTGTATAACAATAATTTTTAAAGCTCTTAACCTCACCAAGAAGTCTTGCATATATCTATCACAGATACTCAATAAATACCTGTTGATAAGTGGTTGCAATGCTCTATGATTTTGGATGTGCACCTCTCTAACTAGATTCAAGTCACCTCATGGGCATAGCCAGATCCTTAAAACCATGCATCCTCTCTGGAGTATCTGTCTGTAAATGCTTATGACGCTGACCTTGGCTTTCCAAAGTCTTTCTATAAGGAGATTATATACTGTAAAGCTAAAAGGGAAGATGACACAAAAATAATAACAAACATCAAATTATTAATTATCCTATTACTCCTATCAAATGATTTTGTCTCCTTAATAATTACTGTCTGCTTATAATATTTCCAAATATATATAAATATTTTTTAAATCACCAACATTTTTCACCCCTATTGAAAATCTATAAAATACAATAAGTACTCCTAGACTTTTAGAGAACAATAATTTCAGAAAAAGATTGGCTGTAAGTTTATGAAAAGATTAATTTGGACAACAAAATGATAGAAGCATAACAAATAAATTTGTTCACATGCCCTTCCCACACAAATATTGAATTATCACAGATTCTTCACTATATGACTATATTTATTTGTGGTAATATTTACTGCATATAATAGAATACTATCAAAATATTGTTTCAAACATCAAGACTATATAAAGGGAAAGAGTCATACTTTCTATTCCCTTGGAAATCATACATGTCACTTGGGTAAAAAAAAAAATCATAAAGATTTCTAACAAGAGGTTGGTTAAAGAAGACTTCTTGTAAGAAAAGATTTTTGAGATGAGTATAGTAGCACATGCCTGTGATCCTAGTACTCTGGGAGGCTGAAACAGGAGAATTGCAAGTTTGAACCCAATGTGGACAATTTAATGACATAATGAGACCCTAATAATATTTTTAAATAACTTTTTTTATAAAAGGGATATAGCTCAGTGCAAAGGTCCTGGGTTCAATCCCGATGTGACACACACTCACACACAAGATTGTATTCTTATTAGCATTAAAAGCATTAAAGCACCAGAGGAGAGAGAGACAGAAAAGGATAGAGAAAAGAGCATCAGAGTGAAAAATAAAACTATAGGTACAGAAGCAAGAATAAGTAGAATTTAGACACACAAGGGTAAAACCACTAAGCTAGAAAAACCAAAGATAGTCATAAAAAGCAATTTACATAATGTATTTATATAGTTATAACTGAAAGATTTTTCAATCTATGATTCAAAATATAATAACAATATAGAACCTGAAAGACCAGTTTCCAATTTTCCCTCTTGCCACAACCAATTTATACCTCCTACCTGTAAGTAATATTAAACTCCAGAGATGGACTCTAAAACATTAATTCTACAACATAGGAGGAGTTTCACATTTGAGTCAACTGTTACACTACATCACAGCTAAAACTCCTACAGCCTAGAAGGATGAAATGGGATTCTGTTTCAGTGAGAAGATTCTCTTCATTTTATAGGAAAGTTTCAGGGTAATTCTTAATTTTTAAAAATTGCTCAGAATTGAGCCATAAAAATCATGTAGAAAAGATGCAACTTTTTTTTTGTTAAATCCATTGAATATTTAGACTACAATGATGTCTACACAGCTAAACTTCATTTCTTCAATATTATTATTAGGTTATATTTTTTCTTAATTTCAATATGTTTATTTTATCTACTGGACTTTCTGTGTTGTATTTATTTATCTGATTTACAATGATGGTTACCACGGAAGAAGAAAATATGTTCCCTCTTGGATTTTAACATAACTACAAAAACTTTCCAAGAGAAATCAGTTTGGTCCATCATAATTCTCTCTCTTGAGAAAAATGCATATTCATCGTATTAGTAGAGAAATTTTCAGGAAGCTGCAAAATTTTAAATTCTCCTAAAATTATTTCCAAAGTTCTATTAAAAATAATAAATATAAGAAAGAGAATAAGAGGTTAAAAAAACTTTTGGAAAACTGTTACATATAAAATCATAATTTTTTTCTAACTATGGAAGTCTAAGACATTGCTAAAACTCTACTAAAATGTTAGCAATAGTGATGACTATAAAGGTGAGTGATATATTAAAAAGTTCAAATTTTTCCTTGAGATCTTCTGCAGCCAGAGAAGTTACATGGATAACCTGGGAGTAAATTAAATCTTAAAGTAAAGATGGTATTCTAGTGATACCATTTTTGAATCAGAAGACAGAGGGAGAATTAGCTGTGACAAGGTTCAGTCCCAAGAACACGGTTGTTAGGGAACTAATGATGATATCTAAAACGTGTTGAGTGCTTACTATGTGGAAGGTTGTGTTCTAAGCACTCATGCAGTCTTTTCAACAATATCAGGAGTCAGATGCTTTCATGGACATTTTATAGAGGAGGAGATTAGGGAAAAGAAGATACATAACTTGTCCAAAGCCCAGAACTCCTCAGTGGAAGACCCTGAACTGAAACCTAACCAAGGCCTGGAGTCTGTGCCTCACCCCTATAGCGCTCCTCTCCAGCCAGCAGTTCACAGGGATGACACCCCTAACCCCCAGGAATCAGATCAAGTATCTGTGTGAGTCTGCTCAGAAATTCTAAGAGCTAGTATTCTGCTACTGTTTTACAGATGAGGAAATTGAGACATAGCAGGCACAGGATTGGAACCTATGCTTCATCTCATGTTTGCAACTTCTCCCAGCTTAGAAGAAGTGAAGGACTTGTAAAGTAGATTCGGATTTTTACTAAAAATTGAAGAATTTAGACCTAGTCCTCGATATAGGTGTTCAATAAATTTTGTAGAATGAAAGAATGGATGGATATAAAGTTGAGTGAAGCCTCTCTTCTGGGCAGTCAGTGGTAGCATAGATTACAAAATAAAATATATTAAGTAACCACAACCAAACAAAGCTAGGGTTTTTGATGTTTTGCTTAGTTTTGGGAGCTTTTGTTTTGTTTTCTTTGTTTATGCTTTGCCTTCAGCTACAGTACACTGCCCACACATCTGCCACAAAATGCTGCTGTGGCCTTCTTACTTGAATAGCCACCCTTCTGAAAGACCTGGGTATGCAGGGTGAGTGACGTTTCCCATTCTATTATACTTGTATTAAAATACCTGAGCATAGCAATAAGAGAGAACCCTACCCTTTCTCCATTAAAAAATAAAAAGGCATCCTTGGTAATCCATGATTTTTTTCAATTGTGATTTGATTTAACGTTACTTAGGTTCAAATTGAAAACATGTTTTATTTCAATCCATTCAAAAATATCTTTATTTTGTAAATAATTTTTTACCCAAAACTGTTATTCCTATTTCAAATGCTGCTAGAAGACCTTAGGATGAGATGGTGTTAAGAATTTTCATTATTGGTCTTGTTCAATGAATGAGACCTCATCAAAGGGAGATGTTTCCCTTCCTCCCTCTGCTGGTCTCTGTAACAAGGGCTGAAATTTCACCTTGGATTTTTCCGTATCTCAAATAACACAAGAAAAACGGTATAAAGTTAGGAAAATGGGGCGCCATCTTTCTGGTCCTTTATTTTCCTGTTTTTCCACTTTTGCGACGGCAGGGGGCGATATTACTTATGTAATTACCCAGTCTGCTCGTGTTCTTCCTAGCCCATCAGCATTTTTACTGGGTGTAGTGTAAAATGAAATACAGCTATCCTTTTTCGCCTTTACTAAGCATATGACAGTGAGTTGGTAACATCTAGGTTTTGGTGTTTTTTTTAACAGATTGCCTTCTGGAAGAACTTGTCATTAAAGTATCTTAGCTTTTATTCAAACTTTTTCCTAAAGAGTCAGCCTGTCTTCTAAGGGGAAAATTTAAAAACAAAACAAAACTTTAAGATCACAATCTTAAACTCACAATCTGTTTCATCATTTACTTTCCATAAAGACTTCACATAGATATTACCTTTTTTATTAAATGGACCTTATATTTTTAATAAATGATATTCCCACCCAAATGTAATTTGGAAATAAACATTTAAAACAATACAGGTTGAAATGTTAACATGATTTATTTTTTTCCTCTCTGTTTCAGCCCAGTAATTGAAAATTCTCCAGCTTTGAAGGAGACTCCTCCACTAGACTAGAGAGAAAATAACAAGAGAAAGTTCAAATAACTTGTTATATAATTTAACCCTACAAACCATTTCTCTTCTTTCTTGTGATTGCTATTGTTTTTGGTCTATAGGGACCGAGCCCCTTTTATTTTTACCTCAGAGATGGAGTACTTTATTACAGAGGGGGGGAAAAAGCCACAACATTTTCAAGACTTTGTGGAGCTTTGCTGTAGAGCATATAATATTGTCAGAAAGCACAGCCGACTGCTCTTAAACCTTCTAGAAATGGTAAGTCCCTTGGGGAAATAATAAGCTTCATTCATGTCTCTCTTTCAGTAGTCTATTTTTTGCTAATGGTTTGGAGTTCCCCAAAGAGCTATTCAAAACAGAAAGAAATGAAGAAATTAAGAGGACCAAGGTGCATCTTACAAAAACACTTTTTGATAAATCAGTATGTCATTCATAGTTATTGTCTCAAGCATTCCTAGTCACAATATTGATGCATTCAAAGGTTATCCCAGTATATCTTGAATGAGGTTCAAAGACAATAGTTTAAAATATAATGCCTTTAGTTGTATTGTGCATTAGGAGTTTTTTTAAAATGCCTTTATAATACCATCTCACACATTCATGGTGTTCCCAATGATGTAAATCAAACAAGGATTTTTTCCTGTCTCCCTCTCTTGATCTCTGTCTTTGATCACTTGCTTGTTTTTCAGGTCAAGAGACTGAGAGCCAAAAATGTAAAATGATGCTCGCAATTCAACCAGAAAGTATACATTTAGTGGTATGAATCAGATCTACTGAGATTTAATTATGTTGACCAATGAGTAAAGTTCAGTGTTCCATCCCATGATCTAGTCCAAAGAGATGAACAAATATACAGGGGGAGAGGGGCAGAACCTTATAGAAATAGCTTCTGGGAGGAGGGTGTGCTAATTCCTTTGTGTGCATAGACACACTTTAGTAACTAATGCAATGTATAAGAGAGAAAAGCACCAGTGGTTCATCAACATGGAGTGTGGGACTTTCAGGTGACAATTCTAGGTGTTCTTTTCCAGGCACAGGCTTAGTGGTTGCGTCTCTCAGTTTGAATCCTAGTTTGGCATTTCACTAGTTACATTCCTAGAGGGATGTTACTTAACCCTGAAAAGGCTTTTCTACCACTAAATGAACATCTGCTTGTACAGTTTATGATAAGGGATCTAATAATGAATGTTTTGCATGGATCGAGCACTGTATGCTAAGTGCTTTATAGGTATTGATGAAAGTTCATTCCACCATCGCCCTGATTAATAAATAATGTAAAGCACTTAGAATAGTACCTGGCATATAGTAGGTTTCAATTAGTTAATGTTATTATACAAGATGTTTGTTAATGTACATTTTCACTTTTTAAGAGCTCAATAGGCTCATGTAGCTAATGACATCATATTGAACAGCATAGATATAAAAGCCCCACTTGGTAGTGCTGAATTAATGTTGTCTTTGTTACAGTGTAGATGTGATTTGGATTCTGTTTTAACTTTCCAACAACATGTCCATTTATCTCCTCTCCGCTTTGAAAAACAAGGATTTTCTAAAAATATTGCAAACATGGCATTCATACAAAAAGACACTTTCGGTTCTTCTTGTGTAAACTGGATAGGTAAGGTTCTGACTATATCCAGAATCTTCAGGCTGTCTTACAGTAATAGCCAATGATTCTCTCTGTAGATCTGCACTCTGCCCCCTACTCCTATTAGATCACATTTCAATTATGGGATGGCTTGGGTTTTATAACAAGCTGCAAGCTTACCACAAAGAAAACTCTACAAAGACTAAGTCCATGAACAGGGCTACATCTATATGTACAATAAATGCCCAGGCAGCACCAACTGTAAATATCTAATGTTGATAATGTTTAATCTCTGATAAGATCTGCCTCATGAATCTGTGAGTTCATGTGCACTTACTATATGCCAGAAAATGTAAATGAAACATTAACATAAAAGGCCTAGAGCACTAACGTTTTCAATTTAATAAGGAAGATAAAATTAGGCACACAAGTAAGTGAGGTATGCAGCATTTCTAAATGTCTATAAATGCTATAAATAACTGCATGAAAGGACTAGTTCCAAAGTATGAAACTATCTTCAACCATCATGGATATCTCAAAAATAAATCTAAAGCAGAAAAACAAGCATAGTTCAAGCTGTTGCTCAGGTGACACTAAAATTATGCTGGATGCTAAGTGAGAATGTTAAGAAAATATGAAAGGATAGCTTCCCCAAAAAATAGATTCAGAAGCTATTAGTGGGCTTTCTCTCTTGTTTAATGAACTTTTCTACATACCTTTTAACAACATACATCATATGGGTTCTTAAATCACACAATCATTAGTTTGTGTAATGTTACTTCATGTAGAAGACATAGATATATATTTTAATCATTGCTGTTAAAATAATTTATCATAAATAAAAATCAATTTCTCATAAAAATCTCATAAATTAAAATCAACTGCTGACAGCATCTACAATATAATATATCCAAAAAATCTATGTTCTAATTAAATCAAATCCTGACTTCTAGGCTAAAGAAAAAATATGGCAGGGGATGATATTAATTAAGTTTAAGCATCAAATCTTAGATTTAGACTTCAACAAAATTGCAGTAGACACTAGAAGCCATGTGGAATGGTTAAACCCTGAATGAATATATGTAAAATAGCACTGTGTTATCATTTCAGTTTCTAGTTATTTATCCCTCAATTCTCTCCTTTTACTCATGTAAATATCTTGTGGGGCTCTGCAGATAAGCCATTTGGCAAAGGTTGCAAGATCATATATTCCCTGGGAAAGTTTCTTATAACATAAAAACAAAGTTTAAATTTGCAAAGGATTTTTTCTACTTATTTATATAGTCTATCTTTCAATTCTTCCTCAAACAAACTTGTTTTGTTATATTCTTTAAAAATCATTCAATCTGCTGTACCATGACCTAGTTACAACCTGAGAAAGGCTTAACATGGGTCATAAATTCTATCTTCTAAGGATGGTCAGTACCCAGGATTATGAGCCAGAAGCATTTGTGGGTTTACTACGGAGTTAATGGCTCATCCTCAGCAAAGAACAGCATGTTTCCAGATATCTACAGTGTTTGTCTTTCCTCCTGGGAAAAGCAGAGAAAAAATAATCTATGAAATTCCCATCCTGCTTAAAAGCAACATCTGTAGGAGACCCAAGAGTGTTGCTGGCTGGGTTCACTAACATAAAAACCTACATTTCATCAGCTTTTCTCTCATTAGAAAATCAATATCAACTATTACAGAACATTCCCAAAGAACACAAGGACCATTCACTTGGTTTAAAATGTTTATCACACCCATTATTATATCAGATATTTCCCAGAAGAAACCTTCTAACTTGTCTATGTGGTGAGGAAGAATGTCTGCTTCCCTAAGCATAACTATTAAAACAGATTTGGACTCAGTGGGAGGAGGCGAGCACATGTAGAAACTTTAAAAATGCTCCTGTCCTTTAAAAAGAAAGAGCTTGCCTGTTCTTTATCTGTCTCTGTTTATTACCTACCTGTTCTAGCTGCTATTCCCTTCCCCACTGCCCCAGCTAGTTATGACTCATATGGTCTAGACGAGGAGGCACTTGATTCTTAGATTGCTGCGGTGCAGAGAACACACAATTAAGTGGATCCAGTTATGAGTCCACCCTTATTGTGTGAATGCAATTAACAACTGATGTGTGTGCATGTGTGTGTGTGTGTGTTGGCAGAGGAAGATCTAGTGTGTTTGTTTATAGTGTTTCCCTCCCAAGAAAATATTTGACAAAATCCTGACCAAGAAAGTGTGAATTCAGGGTATGAAGAGAAACTAGAATGCAATTCAGACACTAGAGAAGAAGCCTGTTTTTAGTAAATGGGTGCTCCTTGTGTGATAAAAGAAATTTGTCTCAATAAAAACAAAGATATCTCCAGAACTCTAAGTACAGAGATGATAAGATAAAACTTAACCTAGATTCTAATTTCCTTTGGGATTGTGTCTCTGTATGATTTTGTTAAATTCAGGAGTCAGTATTGAGTTTGCTAGTAGTAAGTTTTCTCAGCCTAATAGTGTCAGGTGTTTTTTTCTTTCATTCATTTATTCATTTGTCCAGCCATTCATTATTCCAGACATTCATTGAGTTCCAACTATTTACAAAGCACTGTGCTAGGTGATATAGACAGTTCAACATGGAATTAAAGAGTTCAGTGTTCTCAAAGAACCAGTTAAAGACCCAATTAATCAATCCCTATTCTTAAAGAACTTAAGTCTAAAGTGAAAAATGTGTGCAAAACATAGTAAAAAGCTAAAAGTAGGACTGTGAAGGAGGCAGAATGAAGATAACAATTGTTGAACAGTGAAAGCAGTAACTAAATCTCATTAAGAAGGTCAGTGATACTTCAAAGGGGAAGATATATTAAACTGAGCCTCAAAAAAAATTTTCCAAGTAGAACCAGAAGGAGAGGAAAGGAATTCCTGGCTGGGAGAAAAGTATAAGTATGTCTGGTGGTTTGAAGAGCATTAGCATGACATGTGTTGAAAATGGAGGTAGTCAAGGGCACCCAGTCTGTCGTACAGATGGAGACCTCTGTAGAAGACATGGTTGAAGAGACAAGTCGCAGTTAGTTATGAAATGCATTCCCGACCAGAATGAAGATCGTGTATGTTTGTTTATAGTGGAGAGAGTATCATCATAATTTTAGACAAATAATTCACAGATTATCGTGTTAAAGTGTTAGAGACTAGACAAAATTATTTATTCAAGAAATCTAGGCAAATGAAGATAAAGAGCCCAACTAGGCCAGTGACAATTGCAATTCAAAAAGGTAAGTGAGTAAGAGTCTGTTGAGATGTTTTCAGTAGAATTAAGGGATTGACAATGGGAATCAGAAAAAGAGAAATATGAATCTGTTAGTTGGACAATGGTGGCCTTGTAGATTGAGATGTGAAACAGGAAAAAGGAGGGAAGGTTTATAGAAGAAGAGAATTGGATACTGTGAGTCTGAGATCCCAGTGGATTGTCCACGAGGAAAACTGACACCTCCAAGACCAGTGACCCAGTTCCTTGGTTTCAGTCTTCATGCTAGTGACCCCATATCTGTATGTGCAACTGTGTGCTTTGGAGTCCATTCATTTCTCTCAAGATATCCAATCAATCACTCAGTTGTCTCATTTCTACCTCCTGCATATAATTAAAACCCTGTAATGTTTGTATTCATAAACCAATTCCTAGTCCAGCCTCTTATTTGACCCTTCTTTAATCCATTTTTCATAATGATCTTTCTAAAACACAAGTTAAACACTTGAAGAGCTCTCTCTTGCCTTTAGGATATAGTTCAAAATATTTCTGATTGCTAAAATATCCAACACTGGGTGCCTTTTCATCCCCATCTCTTGGTGCTCAGCGGTCCAGAAAGCCTTTCTGGATTTCTTTCTATGACCACACTGCAGCTATCTAATTTAGTCTCTGCTGCACATTCGTACATGCTGTTCCCGCAGCCTGGGTGAGGACAGGGAGAAGGAGAATAGCTTCAGAACCTTTTTTCTTTCTTATTTGAACTCCATCAAATCAATTACAACCTCACAACCATAATTAACTTATCATTGTAAGAGTGTCTGTTCCACCACATGAAATATTTATTATTTTAGTCATAAAAGTATTGATCTTCTTTTTCCTCTCCTCTCCCTCTCCTTCTCTCTCTTCTCCTCCTCCTCCTCCTTTACCTCCTTTTCTGTTTCCAACTTTTCATTCTTCTTTTTTTCTTCTTCTTGGCAAGGTTCAAATTTGTTTTAAAAATATCTATTTTACTCAAACAATTTTATGTACAACTAAAGAGAATATTCTTCCTTTGGTCTATAGTGCAGTTATAAACACAGTATCTTCCTGAAGATCAGGAAAAAGAAATACCTGTATAACTTTGTCTTAATTATTTCACTTCTTTAATAATCTTTAATAAATATAGTCACCACTTAACTAGGGAAAATTGTGTTCTTAAAGTGTGAGTCACAGAGTCATGAAAGAAGGTAGGATTAAGAACAGAGGGGTGAGTTTTATGTTCTGTTCTTACTCATCATTTGACCTGGACATGTCACTCGGTTTTCTGGAGATTAAGTTTGTCTTCTTCAGAGTGGATATTAGTATATATATATTTTTTGCAGTACTGGAGACTGAACCTAGTGCCTTCTCACTGAGCTACATCCCCAACATTTTCTTGATTTGAGACAGGATCTCACTTAGCTAAATTGCCAGGCTGGGCTTGAATGTGCAGGCCTCCTGCCTCTGCCTCCCATAGTTCTGGGATTACAAGCATGCTCCACACCCAGTTTTGTAATATTTTTTGTAATATTTCTCACTCAGTTTTGGTAATATTTTTAACATATGAAGGTCTTTCTCATTCATTGACCATTTTATTCTCCTAGAACATGTTGGGTAATTTTATGTTGATTTAGACGTGAGAAAATAGAAGTTCAAAGAGGTTAAGAGATTTTCTTATGATCACTTAGATTTTAAATGGTGGGGTTAGAAATTCTGACAAGAGGATAATAATACAATCATGCTTACTTCACTGGTTTGTCATGAGAATAAAATCAAATTATTAATCAACAAGCATTTTGCTAATTATAATGGTTCTTTTTATTGTTGTTTCTTCCACCACTAAATAGGGAGATTAAAAAGCATAAGCTTACATTTGTTGATGAATACAAACTGAATGATATCACTGTGAAAACCTATATTCATGTGTCTGTCAGTAGAATGAACCAAGTAAGTTTGATTTTACCTGAATTCCCTCTGTTTTCTTTTTGGTTTGGGATTTTGTTGTCCTGAAGATGCTGCATGCAGGATTACCTGAGCTAAGTGGAATCCAAGACCTGAAATATGTGTATAACAACCTTCGTCCACAAGACACAGACCTGGAAGCAACAAGTCATTTTACCAAGTAAGAAGAGCTAAGAACATGTGCATGTGCAAGAGTGTGTGTGTGTGTGTGTGTGTGTGTGTAGACACATGTACCACATCTGAGGTGATTTGGAGTTGGCCAGTCATTGGTGTGAAACTGCCCCAGTTCCAAAGGACAGAAACTGAGCGGTGTGCCTGTCTAGCAAAAGCCTTAGTCAGTGTTTCTGTAGTGTGCTATTGCTTGCTAACCGGCCCCTTCATCTAACAGATTGCTCAATAAAAGGTCATCGGAAAGAGCAGGAACTGACATAAATAAATTGGTTGTTCTACTTGAACTGTGTCCAGAAAAACAATTTAGGAAAAGAGATTTATGATGAGAAACGGACTCACTACTTTCATCTGTAAGACAATACAAATACAGGAATATTTGGTCAAAGACCTGTCACTGTCTTCTATTTCTAATCTATTTTTTATTAAGCAAGTCTGGAAAAACACTAGTGTACATCATGATAAAAATCTAGGTAAAATATAGTGAATATAAACTAAAACACGAATCATTGTCCAAAGGGCAATACATTTTATAATATAATTTTGAATTTTCACCTTGAATGGATAGCATAATTCCTGCCCTATTCTAAATATTCAATTAAGGTCAGTTGTAATTATCCTAGTAAGGATTTTAAGTGGAGCAAAACAGCATTCTTTCTTTCCTATAACTTCTTAGTAGTGAATCCTATTTGGGCCTATTTTTTAATCTTTCTAGTGTTTCAGCCACAAATTTATGAAGAGTTTATATTCTTTTTAAGAGAGTGGATGCTTTTGAAGAAAACAACAATTATAATAAAAACACTGCCAGGTTTTACTTTATATCTCCCCCTTGTAGACTATTCAGTGGGGAACTGTTCCATTCCAAGGGTGTAGGGAGGCTTCACAAGGAAGTATTATGCACTGGATGGATCTCACTTGTCTTACAGACTTCAGTTCCAGGAACTTCCTTGGACAGAATGCACTTGCAGTTGAATAGAAGGAAAATGACAGAACCACAGACTATTAGGGCTGGAAGAGCTCTTATACTTTATTGATTCTAACAATAAACAGTCAAATGAGAAAATGGAGATCCAGTGAATGAATGGTCAGGTGCACAATTAACAGATGAAGCAAAATAAAGAGCTAGGGCTAAGAGTCAAGTCTGCTACTCTCTCTGGTCCAAGATTTTTGAAGCAGTCAATTCTCTGAACTGTGTGATATGGTTAAGGAATACTAGGAAGAGCCTCCATTAAAAAAAAAAAATGTTCCTGTTACCTATTTAGTCTTTTTAAAAAAATTCTACCATTGGAGATTCAGTAGGGAAAACTGGCAGGGCTTTATTTTTCAATCCTGAAGTGTCCTTAATAGATAGTTACCTATAGATGACAAATGTGTTTCTATCCAGTAACAAAGTCGTTAATATTAATTGACAACTGCCTAAGGCCAAAGACATCAGCTTGAATACTTAGGTAGGTATTTTAGAGCCTTCATTTCCAGGATCAGGAAATTTCACGTTATCTCAGCTAATGGGGATGGGTGCCTTGTGTGAGAAAATCCAGGGAAAGGCTCACAACCTGGCCTCAGAAGAGCAGAAGGACTTTCATCACAGATCATGGGGGTCCTTGGGGCCCAAGGTAGCTTCAGGGAGCACATCTACCGGGATCTGTCCCTCACTGCAGCTGCCCACGCCTGATCAGATGAATTCCAACCAGCATCAGTGGGTTCACATGGCACCAAAAGGAGCCCCTCGGGGAAAGATCTGCGACCTGACAGACACAATGACTTCTGTGTCAGTACAACGGGGTGGGGAGGCAGAAGAGTTGTATAGAAAGGATCAGAGAAGATAAAGGAAGGAAACGCATGGTTGGGCTGCAGGACCTGTGTTTGAGACATGTCACTGTTTAGACAATTATAGTCCTGCAGTTAACTAATGGTCCCTTCCACCACTTAAGAAACAAGAAAAACGATATATTGATTAGGATGAAAATAGCTCTTTCAAGCCCCGGGAAAAACCCCTTTCAGGTTTTAGCCAAAGAAAAAATCTAAACCTGCTTTGTGAGCCAGAGTCCTATCCCGATGTCCGGGTGCTTCCTCGGACACGCCCAGGTCTGTAAAGAGAGGTTACCCAGGGTGACTCAACTCCCCTTCCCATTGGAGAGGACATGAAGAAGCTCGGGAAGTAGATCTAAGCCAGTCACCTGCTGGCCAAGAACTACATCTTTTTACTGTTTGCACACCTCTGCCAGGCTACATGCTCACACTCACAGGTATTATGCAGTGCGTTACACGCCCTTCTACAACTTTGTTCAGAACATGTCTGGGGAAAGGATGTGTTCTCCACTGTAGTCCTAAAAGGCATCTAGTTGTGTAAGCTAGAACGCGTCATCCCTGTGTTTAATAATGTCTTCACTGGCCATGTTCTACCTAGGCCCTTGTAATCCCATCTTTGTCGAAGTTTACCCACCTCCCTCCTTTAGTCCCACATCAGTCCTTTTCTGGGTAGATCATTTTCTTAATGTGTACTGATTCCTGCTTTGTCTATTCAATTTACATATAGAATCATAGCATTTCTGGAGGTGAGGGTGTGGGGAGGTCTGATCTGACTTCCAATCTTACACACCCCTAATAACTTGGACCACTAGTTTCTCATCCATGAAAGTGCTGATTATTTCAATACTCACTCGTATTTTTCTTCCATGATTCAATAGTTCTGTAGCCAAATTGTGGCATCTTTTGTGCTATACTTATTGCTGAATTATATATGGTCCTGTATATCACCTTAATTAATTACATTGAACAGTTACATGACTATCTCCCAAGTCAAACAGGGGCATTCCCACTTCCCACTTCAAAGAATAAACGAATGGGAAACACTCCTTATATAACAGAAAATACAATTTAAACATCCAGCATTAAGTATATTAAAAACCTGTAATAATAGCTAACATCTAATATAATGCTTCTTATGTGTGAAGCTCTAAGTGAATTGTGTAGGAATGTATTTGTCATAACAATCCTACGAGGTGATGATATTTTTATCTATGTTTTTACATTGGTGAGCTGAGATTGGGGAGAAGTTAAACAATTTCCCAAAGGCTATAATTGGCAGGAAACAGAGCCATGATCATAATCTAGGAGGTCCTGCTGCAGTACACACAGTCTCAACCACTAGTCTGTATGTTCAAAGCCACCTGTCACACCTCCAGGCTCTCGGATGTGTGCTGTTTCCTAATCCAGATTGCTTTGGCTACAGTTTGATCAAGACAAGTCCCATACTCTCCTTGGGCACTAATCCTCATATCCTGAATCCCCATATCCTGCCATCATGAGGAGTCTCCTGAGGGTGTGATTCTAATTCCTCTCTGGGAGCCCCTCTGGGATAACTTCATTAACAACTCTGGCAGGCACCTGCCTTCCTCTCTCTAATGTGGCCCATTCCCAGATGCCTTGAGCCATTCTTCTTTTTCTTCTCAGAGAACTCTCCCATGAGATTCACTTTCCCTTAACATCCAAGAGTATGTCTTAGGATTACATTTTATCCTAAGGTCTCAATGATATACTTTTATTTTTAGATTTGATTTAATGTGTATATAGAGTCTATTCAATTTTTCACTCAGTTCTTCAGTATATATACAGAATATGTACATATGTAATATATATAATATTCATATATATATATATATATATATATATATATATATATATATAGTTTTGAGGATCTTTTCTACCACACATTCAATCTAGCATGATGAAGATCCTCTTAAAGAGGGTCAGGGAAATTGGTTGTGCCTATGATTCTTGCCACTCAAGAAAGAATCCTATAATCTATTCTTTGTATATTTTACATTTTTAAAAGAAATTATATGATATTTCTTCTGTAAATCCTTAATGAATACAGTAAATTTATAAAGAACAACTAGGTTAATTATAAACAATAAAGCAAATTTGAAACAAAAGCTCATCATTCAAATTAATGTTTAACAATATGTGCATCTGTATCCAGTCCTCCCTGGGTATCTGTGGGCATTTGTTCCGGGGTTTCCCAAGGGTACCAAAGGCCATGGATGTTCAAGTCCTTGTATAAAATGACACAGTGTGTGCACATAGCCTATGAACACCCTGATGGATACTTTAAATCAGCTCTAGATTACTGAATATACAGTAAGTATTATGTAGGTAATTGTTATCCTCTATTGTTTATGGAATAATGACAAAGAAAATATCTGTACATGTTCAGCCCAAATTAAATTCTTTTAAAATATTTTCAACTCACAATTAGTTGAATATGTGGATGTACAACCCACAGATAGAGATTTGATGGTGCTTTTGTCTGTAAATAATATATATTATTCTCGTTAGCTATGTTCTCTGACATCATGTGGATTTACAAACTTAGGAAGAAGACACTTGAAGTACAGACCTCATCACACATAATACATGAAAAAAGAAACCAAATTCAGTGATGGATCCATTATGGGTCTTGATACTTTGATGATCTACCTATGTATCTATCATCTATCTCTCTATGAGAGAGTTCCTATATACTCAAACTCTTTGTTCTCTTTGTTTCTTTGTTCTAAGAGTCTGTAAGTATTTTATGCCACTATTTATCCTGATATAATTACTAAATTACAGACAAAAATAAAATAAGAAAATCCAGCCTCTCACCACCTCCAATCTCCAAACAGGGGTCTCAGGGAAAGACTAAGCCACCTGAGACACAGCCTGTGTGGCCCCCCTAAGTGCCTGCTCCTCACTACAGTATCAGTACTAAGAGGCTGCCCCTCCTGACCCTATTATAGGCTTAAAAGAAAGAAATGGCTTTGCTTGTCTTGCTCAGCATGAGGAATAATGAAGGATCCTACCTCATGCCTGGGCACATATATTCTGGATCTTAAGCAATTCTGATTGATAATAAGAGATTCTGAAGATACTGAACCCCATGGGGCATTAAAAACTACCTTGTAATCAATGGTTTTTAGAAGCAGAATGAAACTAAAATTGATTTGCGGG